GTTGAAGATGTTGTTAAGTAGTGTCTTAGCAATGCGATCTTTTTTTCATCTGACAACATGCCTCGTGCACTCATAGTAACCTTACTACTTTCGCACAGGCTATTCGTTTCCAATTGGTCCCTGTGCAACAGAATGTTATTATTAGTCAATTAAAATGGTTCTCTCTCATTATGTCAAGTTCGAGTTGCCTCCAGCATTTCGAAATTACTCCATGACCTTCTAATGCAGTTTATCCTGTTCACTACTGGGTGTCAAATACCCGATAAGCCAATAATTCTGCAAGATGTAATTAACATTAAGGGGCGGGCCATAGAGTATGAAATAAAGTAAATCAGCACTTCGGCCTCCTGCGGATTACGTTTGCAATGTTCGACGCCAGTTGCGCTATCTAAGCGTGGCAACCCTGACAGAAGCACCATCTCGTCACGCCGGCGAATGCGCGAAGCAGGGCAACAGAGAAGCTTAAGGGCATGTCCTACCTTCTCTGCCAGTTCAGGATGAAAACACTACGAGAGTAGCGGACCTTTTCTACGTTTACGAGGAGAATCCCATAATAATGTAACACATCCTGGTAAAACCCAAACACTCTTGCCACCATCTATTGTAGCTCAGGCGAAACAGGCATCTGAGAGAACATCGGTTTAGGCTGGCAACGCAATACAGCCGACTGGAATTCGACGAAATTCTTTCATCCTGCGAGTGTCAAAGCTCTGGAACTCTCTCCCAGCCCATGTAATCAATTGTCTATACTTTTCACTATCCCGACGAGAAGTTGGCGACACATTAACTTAGTTGCGCTACGTGATATATCGTGTGACCAACGAATGACGACATCAATGCAAAACAAACCGCGAACTATATCACACTCCTCTTAAACTCCAGGCAGAAATATTCGCGTCGTTGCTACTGCAACCCCCTTAGCGAGTGCAGCCAACTCCGACTTCTTTCAAAGACCATGTTTTATCTTAAAAGTTTCAAACTAACTATCCTACCGGACTAGTCAAGCATCTGCTTTTTTGTCCAGTACTAAGCATTGATCCATTGCAAGATAGTAAAGTATAGCATAACTGAAATGAACTCACGAAGCGGTTACTAACTGCTCATTGGAACTCAAAACAGAATCTGAAGTGGCAGTATGCACTTATTACCTTCTCCTCATGCAGCCGAAAGCCAGTATGCACATCGATAAGTTGATAGGCTATTACGACAGATATGCTGACTCGGTTGTCTGTTTTATCACTAGTTGCTTCTACTGTTTTACAAACCTTCCTTCAGACCATCAAACCACCTATTCTTAGCTGTGATTAAACTAGTTAAAGGACCTGCTTTACCTCACGTTCAAACACATCCTGCCCACTCATTTACCGTAGTAACTCTACAAAGTAAACCATTGGGACGGTTTTGCTAGCGCAAGGTGTTTGAATACTAAGCACTATGCGTAGGAGAGCAAACATTAACCATTGTTTAAAACAGAGCTGTTGCTGCATCATTAATAGCGGCACATCAGCCATTTGAACTGATGCTTCGCTGCCGTACAACCACGATCACCTACGGAACGAAGAATAATAAAAGAGAGAAAAGAGGATCCGGCATAAAACGTTAATGTCCTAAGAAGACATTCAGAGTCAAGGCGCCTACACCATTTCAACAACATACTGTCGCAAACAGCTGACTTTCGTGAAAGAATAAGGCGACCTTGGTTAGATAGCCTCTCTGTGGCTTTCACTACCCCGCGTCATAATCAGCCATTAACCAGCAGATAACTCAGCGCCAAACACACTTTAAACAGGCAGTGCGAATAGACTGCAGCGGACACGACACCGATGCCGACTGCGAACAATGTACCGTAACGTCCCGAGCCAAGCACAATGCGGGTCAGGTGACTGTTTCGCAGTCATTGACTTCATTTCTCGCTGCCAAGTTAACCCTTATAGCTGCAGCAGGCTATCTTAGCATGCATGGAACAGAGTTATTCCGACTCGAATAAAGCTTATCCTTACATTTCGAAACAAATTAAACCTCAGTTCGCTGTTACACAAGGATGAAATGTGCGAGCACTTAGCATCTGTGTCATAACGCCGCTTACCTTGAAAGGACCTCCTCGACCGTCATCCACTTCCAGAGAATAAGTGACAGGTTCCAACTCCTTGTAGACTGGTCTGCTGGCACCAGTTTCCTCCAAAGCGCAATTATGCCATTCGCCACTTCTTGAATTTGTCGTATGACCAGAAATGGAAGTAAAGGAACCATGGAGACGAGGCTTTCTGGGACTCACTGTGGTCACCACCAGGCCGTTTGATATTTTATCTGGCACTCCAGGACTCGACAATAGGTAAGCGGAAACGGACGCTGGTAAGTGTCCGTTCAATCTCCCTACATTTTGCTTTGGTCTGCAACTGGACACGCTATTCACGTTGACGTTCATTGAAGAATCCGATCGACTGGGGCATGTTGTTGGAATGTTCATGACGGATAGTTTAGCCGCTCCGTTCTCCCCCGAACCTGGAACAGTTTCGTACATTTGATGGTAATCAGAAAGGAATCGATCACATAGGGGTGGTGTGTCTCGGTTAGAGCCAGTCGAATGCCAAACAAGATGAAGCGCGTTTCCTTCAACTGCACATTGAGGAACTGAAAACATCGGGGCCTTCGGAGCTGTAAGGTGATAAGCGAAGACTTATTCGTTGACAAATTTATAAACGGGAAGCAAGTTGCAATCCCCAAAGCAGTTGTAACTTACTGTGATGGGTTTCCAGGCGGAGTGAGTCAATCTCGGTAGTGAGGTTTGCTTTGGATACCCTTAACTCCATTTGACCGCAGGATTTGACATGGTTGGCCAGTTCGAGTTCTTGCGTAAACTGAGCTTCAGTCGAACCAAGTCGCATGTGGATGACAGGGGTAATCTAGGTGGGGAAGGTAGGTCAATCACTAGGAGACGATCGAATGTGAATTTAAGAGAGAAGATTTCCCGCATATGTCATCATGGACTTGAGCTTAACGGTGTTTGCGGGATAAGTGCGAGACATTTTAGCTGTTAGGCCAATGCTCCGTACTGGGCAGCACGAGATAAAGCATTGGAGCAATGGTTCACTACGCGCAAAAAGGCTGATAATTGACAAGTCCTTGTTAGGTTTAGAGCCAAATAATCTGAGTAACATTTATGGTTTGGAGAACTGAAGCCAGATGGCGCCAGGAAACTGTGTTCGAACTAGTTACTATGCAAAAAATGCGAACGAACATCATGTTCCGAGTCAAGTGTTCAACGGACTGTGAGTGGGTGTGTACAGAGTCGGCATGTTTTCATAAAACCCAAAACTCTTGTGTTTGTGTGATATCGTGTAATGTATTTGTCGCTTGGCTCACATAACATGCAACACTTGTGAAAAACCCGTCTCCTATAAAATCAAAACGTGTTCCGACCATCACATGTAGTAGTTGAGTGCTATCGGCAGTTACTTAGTCCGATTTCGTGTTCACCTCGCCGATACACACTACTTAACCAGTATGGTGTGTTCTGACAATACAACGACACCCAAGTCAGGAACCCATCATACTTGGTCCAACTACCGCCATAACATTGAAAATTAATAGATGTAGATAACCATTAATATAAGTCGAGTTTGGCTGAACTCACTAAGGGGTTTACGATTGCAACGACTTAAACATTCCTGTCGGGAGTCGAGAGGGAATACGATATAATTCACTGTTTTTCCGTGTCATTGCCGTTTTTCGATAGACACACGATATATAATATAATGTAAATGTGCCAGTGTGTCGTCAAGTCGTTATTTGAGTAGTGGTGAGGAAACCAAATACATGCCTAAGTAGGGATTTCAGGACCGTCAGATTTGCAAGGAAGAAGGATTTCTTCGCAGTCCAACCGGCTTAGGTTGATGCCTTCTTAAAGGCTTGTTTTAGATGAGTTTCTGAAATTGATCGCAAGAGTAGCTGGAGATCATTACGATCTGATAAACCATTCTGAGATCACTCCGTAGACGCGCATGACCTCCACGAAACATTGGTAGGGATTTTAGCCTAAGTTAACAATGAAACTCGGACAAGAACTAAACGTTTTTGTCGCCCTACGTTGTACCATCTTGAGCGCGACGAGATGGTGTTTTTACCGGGACTTCGATGTTTGTATAACGGATTCCATGTGCAGTCTCATGCGCACACCAAACATTTGCGCAAAAGTTGAAGCGTCAAACATTCCGAACGTCATTCGTTCGATCGATTACGATTTTTTCTATCGCTCATCTTAAGCGTGGAGCAACAGAATAACATGTGAAACCTCTCTCTCAATTAGATCCTTCCAGTGCTTCAACCCGTCATCGTAAAACAGATCAGGTATCTAGGGTGTTTTAGGAAGGAATTGAGCATAACCGTTACACTTGTTACCCTTGCCGCTATACTTCAAGATGCACTCAACCCCACTGATGGACTTAGTGCTTCATTGTGGGTATACCCGTATGCTTGCAGTCAATTCACTGGAAACTAGCCGGTGCAACCATAAAGGTACCCACATCATATGACGTGTATTTTGGAACCCACTGTAGTCTTCGGCAATATTTGGTCCTATTGAGAGAAAAAAATGCACCACAGGGGAGAAGAAGCTGCTATCCTGATTGCTCATTACAATTCATCACTTCGGAATGCACCAACGTATTTGTGTAAAGCTTAAACAAAGCTGGTCATTTGTTTAATAATGTAGCGGGGGTAAGGAGTGTGAGAAGTTCTCTACTGCGCTTATGCCAAACATCAAACACTCTAGTTTCACCGATACATTGGAGAAAAATTCCGACCGACCACCGGGATGTGAGGCCAAGCGTACTGTTTCCACACCGTACTTTACTAGTGATAATGTCGTCGTACATTTCTAATACACAGAGATACACCACATGTTTTTAGGCTCATGTTAGGAAGGAATACACGAGTCGAACAAGCCAGGACCCATCGCCTCGGCCGGCTATCCAAACTCATCCGCCCTGATTGGGGCGAACAGTGAGCCAACCAGGAGAAGCGGCCAATAAACGCTAGGTTGAAGTTCCTTTATTGGCTGTAAGTTAACCTTTCCAGAGCTTTCCACGGTCGCTTTAAATATACTATTCACGAACTTTCCATTTTACCTTTATAATGAACGGTGTGATTTGGCAATTCATTCCTGTTGCTTTGCTCGGCCGATTCGTCTTCTCTCTGTCCTGTGGGGGGCCAGCGACTTCGGGTTTGATTGGCAATCAAGCGTCCATTCAGGCGAGGGACGAACACTTCAGCCCACATAACAAATTTGCTTCACCTTGTATACAGTATTTCAGAGGAGAAAATACAATTACCCGCACAGTCCCCTGCTCGATTCCGTGTTAGGATAATCATATATAAAATACAGATTAAAAGCGAGAAGTAGACGGAATTTACTTCAGAACGCTGAATGCAATCAAAACCACTCGCTTCCATACGTATAGACCTGAGCAGCAAATGCAAGCTGAATGGGAACATATCAGAAATTTCCACCGTCTTTCGTTTATTCGATATTGCCCTTCTGTGCGGCTCTGTAGGCACTGAGCCCAGTTCCTCTTCGACGTTAGACCACATGAATGCGAACGTGTGCTGCCTTTAAGTAGACAGGGCGATTGTGCACTCAGTGATCAATAGTGTCAAATTATTTTAACCGCTTGACATTCACTGTGAACGGAATCGTATTTCGCACCAAAGCAGTCGATGGACTTAACACTCCAACAGTCAGTTTAAACAACCCAATGTACAGGAATGACATTCTGGCTGTTTATGTTTTAGTTTATCAACAGTTTGTTCCCAGCCCATCACACCTGTTAGTGTTTGTTTAGTCTGGCATGACTGGTCCCTACCATCTGGTCAGACATTTCATGCGATTAAAGTCATCAGGCTACGGGAATCACATACAAATAAGCTACGCGGAAAGCGCTCAACTGTACATGGTCTTGTTCTCTGGTATCATTGTAGACAGCAATTTAAAACCTTCTAGCCCAAAATTTTTGCTTTCGCCGTAAGCTCATATACTCCCAAATGACTTGTGAAAGGTTTGGGAGTGCTTTGCTATGTTCCACACCGCATGACCGATTCTCGGTTAAGCTTTGATCTTTCCGGCTCGTCTGTGTGGAAGCTACCACTACCTGAGCTACCGAATAATGTACACTACAATGTGCCCACGTTATCCAAGTCGGTCTAAGTGCAACCTGAACTATGAATGCATTGTAAGTCACTATTTACCGGTCCGACTTTTCACGTCAGTGGACCCAGTGTTGACTATAGTCACTGCTGACAACTCGAGCCTTTTTGTCTCATGTTTAAATCGCGACAGGTCGTCGCATTTCGGGCCGTTATCTATGTTGAAATAAGCCTCGTTCATGCCGGTCCCACAGACGGTGTGCCACATTGTATGCTGCGGTGTTGGGAACGAACAGAACCGGTAATTTATGCACCGGGTGACCAGCATATGCAAACGCAACGCTGCATTTGTGGTTGTTCCGATATCCGGTTGCCGTAGTAACGAATCGGGTAAGGGGTCAATGCATTAGTGAGGTCAACAGAAAGGTGATGAGAGTGTGCTTAAGCTAATTATTCTATGGTTCTATTGGCTGGACCAAATGCCGACGAACTGGTGGGGTTGACTCACAACTAGGGCGCTGAATTACAATGGGAAACAAATTTCGTCAGAGCAGTTGCGATATGTCAACATTTTTGAATGTTCTCAGTCGCAAATACAATACAAGCGGGATTCACAGACAGTGGTATACAGGAAAAAATTGGTACACCAATCAAAATGTCAAAATCAAGACCACGGTATCCTAATTGATTGTCTCAATAGTTTCTGTGCACACAACACAGGTTGATAAGCCCTAATTAGCAAAGCCTCACTAATTTCCAAAATTAGCAGATTGTTGTTGCTTAATAACACCTTGAACGCAGTCTCCGGGTTCACCTGATGTCCAGTTGCCAAGAGATGTTTGGCGCTTGATGATGCTGGACTCCGGTTAATCCTCGGATCCACCGTTTTTTTGTATCATTAGTTGTTCCAACCACCTCGGCACACGTTCAGCTACCAATTGTGATAATCAATTAGGTTACCGTGGTCTTGGTTTTGACATTTTGATTGATGTACCAGTTTTCCCCCTGTATATAACAGTCTATGAATCCTACTTGTATTGTGTTTGCGACTGAGGAGAACAAGCGAAATGTTGACATACCGCAACTTATATCTTCTCATTGTTCTGACGAAATGGCTGAAGGGTGTCAAGTGGCCCTCCGTGCATCAAAAAGTCAAAGTCTGGGCCTCGATCAGAAATTCATTATTCATAGAACGCAAACTCATTTTATATCTCGAGTCAATTAGAATCACTCACGATGCAGAACAAATCTCCATCATATTACATTCTCGGCCAGCGTTCGAGCTTCGTTCAATGTCGATCCAAATCGATTGCATGCTATCCTTCAGTTCGCCTCTGCAGCGATCGACCAGCTTTCAGACTGTTGGCCCAAAATCGTTAAGCTCGACCGATCGCTATGCAACGGGCATCTAAATGTAGTGTCTTACCATCACAAAGGGGACCCACTATTTTTCCTTTCTGAAAAGGGAAAAATATTACCCAGACTCACCTGTTGCTATCCTACTGCTGATGGAGATCGTGGTGGTGACACAACGTTTTCATATAGTCACGTTGAAAGCATTAAGTGATTATCACTTGACACGGCCTACTTTGTTTGTGAGGGTTGGTTTAAGATGCAAATTCATTCACTAGGCATTAGGATGCCAATTATTAAAAGGATTGAAAGCTAGTGCGTCGCAACGTGTCCCAATCCAGCCTACGTTCAGCACTATTTGAGGAGTCCAACCAAGCGTGATTTCGGTCGTAGAGAACTCAGAAGCTCT